TGTGTGTGTGTGTGTGTGTGTGTGTGTGTGTGTGTGTGTGTGTGTGTGTGCATACACATGAATGCCCCAGATTACATGTGATGGTCAGGACAACTCATGGAAATGGCTTCCTTCTTTTCACCATTCGGGTACCAGGGATTGAACTCAGAGAGCCAGGCTGAGTGGTGAGCACCTTCAGCAACCCAGACGCTTATCTTTAAAGCTGTTGGTGCTTTTACATGTGAGGGCATATTATTACTTGGCCTGGTCCCAAACGAGGGAACCCTGATACCAAGCCTCGCTCCCCTGCGAGAGCCGGCCAGTAGCAAAGGCGTATTCCCCTGCTCATCCTCCTCACAAACACACCAGGGAGCCGGATGACCTGCCTGACCCAGAGCACGGTGTTTATAAATAGAGTCCAGCACCCCCTCCTTTAAAGCCTGCCAACCTAATCCTTGCTCTAGATTGGATTTGACTTGACCTTTGAGCCTTAAAACTCAGGTCACTTTTTCCTCTGGAAATCCTGCTTAACAAAAAGCTACTGAAGCACAACTGTTTTCTTTATTTTTATTTTGGAATTCTATGTGTATAGGTATTGTACCTTCATGTATGTCCGTGTACTTGCATGCAGGACCCACTGGAGTCAAAAGAGGGCTGTGAGCTGCCGTATGGATGCTGGGAATTGAACTTGAGGCCTCTAGAAAGAACAGCAAGTGCTCTTGACTGCTGAGCCATCTCTCCAGCCCCCAAGCAAAAAGATGATCATCAACAAGATGATCAGCCATCAGAGCTTGTCTTTCACTTTTAATGGCCAGCTGTTCTCATTGTTTGCGGAGTTTTTGTTTGGTTGGTTTTTTGGTTTAGCTTGTTCTGTTATGTTTTTGGTTTTTTGAGACAAAGCCTCAGACTCAAGTCTGCTTCAGCCTTCTACATGCTAAGATTACAGGCCTGTGAATCAGTTTGTTTGGTTGCTGGAGTAGTTCCAAGACAGTCTGCCTGCCTGCCTGCCAGTCTGTCTGTCCCTCTTCCCAATTCCTTCCTCGAGTCTAAGAATGAACCCAGAGAACCCAAGACACTGAAAAGCTCTCCCACCACTGTGCCCCAGCCTTGCTTTTCATTCCTAAAGCTTCAGAACTTACAGGGGCCTCAGTCACTTTCACTCCACCACCCCTGAATAGAACCCTTTTATAGTGCTTTTTCTGTTGTTTACAGTAGATAAAATCTGATAAGGCCCTGTGACTTTGGATTGGAACTCTTATTTAGACACTGGCAGTTTTCAGATGAAAGAAATGGGAATTGTTGAGATAACCAAGAAAAAAATTGTATGTGTTTTAGTATTTAGCTGCATGTATGACTGTGCACAACTTGTGTGCAGTGCATGTAGAGGCCAGAAAAGGGCACCAGGGTCCCTGGAACTGCAGTTACAAGCAGTTGTGAGCCTCCTGTAACCCCAGTTCTAAGACAGCCAAGGCCTTTGAACTCTCTGGGCACCTGTACTCACATGCACAGCCCACACGGAAACACACACAATTGAAGATAAAGAGTTGGAGAGATAGCTAAGATGTTAAGAACATTGGACCTACTCTTCCAGAGGACCTGAGTTCAGTTCCCAGCAGTCACATAAGGCAGCTCACAACCACCTTCGATGCTAGCCCCAGGAGAGAGATCTCTGGCCTCCATGGATACCCACACACGTACACATAACTTTATTTTTGACATTATAATATAATTACATCATTTTCCCCTTTCCTTTCTTCCAAATCCTCCCATGTACCTTTTAAATTGCTCTCTTTCAAATTATGGCCTCTTTTTTTTTTTTCTAAACTGTTGTGAGATACATATAATTTTAATAAAAATAAACCTTTTGCATCCCAGGGTTTCTTGTTGACCGGAGCCAGGGGCATTTTCTCATCCAGATGCAGCTCAAGGTTTCTTCAAGGTTTTTTTTTTTTTTTTAAGAGCTGTAGCTTTTTGCTAAGAATGCTTGGCTGCCTGTGAGTCAGGAATTGTAGAGATAATTGCCATTTGTATTTGGTCTTGTTTTTTAACTTGCAGACAGTCTGATGAGTGTGTTGCTGCAGTGGGTACATGGGACACTACTGTGAGGTATTGAGAGGCCTTTGCAGAGCAGGCCAACTAAGGACTGTGTCTTCTGAAAACATGGGGCTTAAGGCATCTAGGCCAAGTCTGAGCTCAGAGTGAGTTGACAGGGCAACAGTGTCAGTTGGTCCCTGTCTTAGAACAGAGGGGCTTTCCCTTATATATACAGGGACAGGTAGGCAGACTTGTAGCTCTTAAAATTGTAAGCTATGACCTAAGTAGAAATGCACACATGAAAGATGTATTTAAATTCAGTTACTCCAAATAAAAGGTTTAACTTAGTTGTAGAATGTTTGTTACCATGTGGAAAGCCCAGGATTCTACCCCCAGAACAACAGGTTAGTTAATTAGTTTGAAGTGTGGAGCATTGGATGTGAACCAAGCAGTGGCCAGAAGCTTGTAAAGCACCTGGGAGAACTGGCTAGGACTCTCACACCCCGAGAAGAAAAGCGAGCATAACCCTGACTTCTGGCCTAGCTACTCAGTGTCTCTAGGCTGCCGGACAGCCCAAATGCATCTTGTGTATATAACAGCAAAAAAGTAGACCTCCTCCAGGTGAATGTCATCCCGTCACCCGTGTGAGGCCCAGCAGCTGAGCTGTGCAGGGCCCTCAGCTGACCTCGAGTCAAACAATAGGAGAGTGTGGCACAGATCTGCCCAAAAGGATAAGGACCAGGACCTGCACCAAGAGCCACACAGCAGGAAAGGGCAAGTTGATGCTGTCATACAAGCCCACATGGAAAACTCTTCCTCAAGTGCTTATGCAATGCTATTTTCAGGACCCCGGAACTGTGGTCTCCAGTGTCCAGGCCTAAACCATGTGCTTGCCCCAGCTGTACATGGGAGGGGTCTACACCTTAACGTCAGATACTCCGACAGCAAAGATTGGACTTGCCCCAGAGAACTCACTGCCCTTAAACAGCAGGAAGTAGTCTAAAGAGGTCTACTCCCCTTTCCTCTTTAACTGTTTTCTCCTACCTAGTGTTGGGGTGAGGTTGGAGGGGACTGGGGTGGAATAGGGTTTGGAAAGGTGATAGATATAGGAACCCAATAAAGTAGACCAAAAAAATATGCCTACAGGTGGTGCCCAATGTTGTGCGGGCATAATGGGAAATCTGGTCTCTAATGCTAACAGGGCACAGGCCCTCTCAAGACCCATTTATACCATCTCCAGAGTACCCAGAATTAAACTATCTGCAACTGGCAAAAATCATGTCCCTCCTAGAGCACAAGACAATCACAGTTAGCCAGTGGGGACAGTCTGAAGCAGCCCCATATCCCACACCCTGGAAGTAAAACAAAAACATTCACATAATATAACTGGGTTTTTTAAGAAACCAAAATTCTCACTACACTTCCTAATAAATATCTTGATTTCTAATGATTCTTGCTGTCCAGTCTGTGTGTCTCTGTCTCTCTGGGTCTCTCTCTGTCTGTGTATGTCTGTGTGCCACAACACTTTTGTGGAGGTCAGAGAGGTCAGAGGGGAGTTTTGAGGATCTGTCCAGCACCTCCACTGTGAGATCCAGGTTGTCAGGCTCATGCAGCAAGCACTTTTACCTGCTGAACCACCTTGCCAGTTCTCACTGTCTTCTTGCACATAAAAGCAGGATACCAAAAAGCTATTGAGAGTCCGTGCTAGTGGGAGACACTCCCAGACTGTGGTCTTCTGAATGGACTCTAAATGGCTCAGTTCTTTGGCAGCACCCTGATATCTGACCTGCTGTGTCTTTACCATTTGGTTGATGAGATTTTTTTTTTTCAATATTCTTTCTTCTAGCCCTTGCTACACATTCTAGTTGCTATCTTTGAGTTCTTTTCTCCCCTCCCCCCCCCCCACAATGCTGGGGATTGCACCAGGACCTGGAAGGTTCTAAGCAAGCTCTCTACCACTGAGCTATATCTTAGTTCGTGTCTCTGAACTCTTATTAAGATGATGCAGATAAAAATCTCTCCAGCCTCTGCCTCTTTCTTTAACTATCTTTTGAACTCTCCTGCATGTACTTGGCATAGAGAAGTTTGACAGACTTGCTACAAAATAAGCAAGATTTAAAAAAAAAAAAAAAAAAAAAAGATAGGAGCAAAGTAGGAGTCACTCTCAGAGCCTTATTTTCCCTTAATCATATTTGATCAGAAATTGGATGAACCTTCGGGATGCTGAAACAGGGAAGATACTCTGGCAAGGAACAGAAGACCTGTCTGTGCCTGGTGTGGAGCATGAAGGTACTTTGCAGCCCCTTGAATGCACAAGCTATGCCCAGTGCCAGAACTGACCCTGGCATCTAAGCTAAGTAAACACCCAGCTACTAGACAAGTGAGCGCTACAGGCGAACAGAAACAACACTTCTCATTCTTCTTTTACATGTCTTTCATTTCCCCAAATCCACTTTAGCATTGGACCATACCCAGATCTGGATGTGATGGCATATTCCTATAATCCCAGCACTTTGCAAGTTGAGGCAGGAAAATCAGGAGTTCAAGGCCAGCGTCAGCTACCTAGCTAACTCAAAACCAATTTGGACCACATGAGGGAGACCCTGTCTCAAAAAGAAAAAAAAAAAAAAAATCTAAGATTTCAACTTTTTCCGAAAGAAAATTTTCATTTTTGTCTCTCTGAAGGAAAAAAGAAAAGGGAAAGCATTTTGAGGAATCATACTATAGGGAAGGCACCACGCGGCCTGCATAGAGAGTATGTTCACAGCCCTTGCCTGCCAAGAGCAGCTAGGTGAGGCCTGTGGAGACACCAGATCTCGTGTTCCTTAACACATCACATGTGTTGACCAACAAGACCTCTGCTTTCAGTTGGAATGTAATGCAGTTACCAAGGCATCTAATGAAATTTAACTAATATAACGGATTCTCTAAGGCAGCCAGAGGCACTCCCTGGAAGCTGAAGCATCATATTCTTGAGGTTCTCATCTAGAAGGGTACCAATATCTCTCTCTCTCTCATCAGCCCGTGTGCCCAAGAAAATCCTCAAGTGCAAGGCAGTGTCTCGAGAACTGAACTTTTCTTCAGCAGAGCAAATGGAAAAATTCCGCCTGGAACAAAAAGTTTACTTCAAAGGACAATGCCTAGAAGGTACTCTGCTACATGTGTGCCTGAACCAGCACACGTGGCTAGGAGGATAGGGGCAAAAGGCAGAGCAGTGCTTTGAAAACACTGGTTTCATAACTGAAAGAATTTCTACATTCTACAACACTGGGGACTCCAGTGAAAACAAAGCAAAGCAAGGCTGGACACAAAAGGGGCTTTGAGCTCTGTAGCAGTGGAAGCTTGGGCGCCTGCGCCTGGTGTAGTATTACACTGAGCCTGGAAGGAGCAATTATGTAGAAGGTAGTATAGGACGCCACCTCCACATCCTCAGCTGTGTGTGGTAAGGCCTCTGCACTGAGTAGGCAAAACGTAAGAGAACATGTAGGCACCATAGAGCTGAGATTCCAAAGGCCTATCTGCCTTTCACTGCAAATCTCGCTACTCCTAGGAAAATCCCGCTTAGCATGTGTCCTGCTCCCTGATTCCCGTCTATTAGACACCATAGGAAGCAAGCCTGTGGCACAGATGTGAAGATGGTCTGTGAAGGTCTCGGTGTCCTTTTGTGGGCCTCTGGTTTAGGAGGGCTCTGACAGGTTACCTTCATGTTTTTAGACAGGATGAGCCCGCTCTAAAGGAGAGGACGCATAGCCTGTGGCTCCCCATGCCCACAGTAGCACCTGCTCACTGGCTTTTCCTTCTCCCTTCAGAGTGGTTCTTCGAGTTTGGCTTTGTGATCCCTAACTCCACAAACACTTGGCAGTCCTTGATAGAAGCAGCGCCTGAGTCCCAGATGATGCCTGCCAGCGTCCTAACGTGAGTGAAGGCCCAGGAGATGTCAAAACGTGTCTCAGGCCAGGCTTTCAGGCAGGTGCAACTCCAAGGTGTTATTCCTAGGCAGAGAACTAGAGAGAGAACACTAAAAGAGTGTCCAGTGGTATGTTGAGGATCCTGACTTTCGTCCTATGAAAAATAGCAGTTCAAAAACTTTAGACCACATTTTAAATTTCCAGTTTACCGTGACTACTTGTCTCCATGGACGATGATGTCTTATCTTGCTGAGTCTTACTTTCACGGATAAAGTAAAGATAAAAAATTGAGACGATGTGCCGGGTGCAGTGGCTCACACCTGTAATCCCAGCACTCAGGAAGCAGAGGCAGGTGGATCTCTGTGAGTTTGAGGCCAGCCTGCTCTACAAAGTGAGTCTAGGAGAGCCAAGACTACACAGAGAAACCTTGTCTCCAAAAGAGAAAATGTGGAAGAGAACTGGCACAAAACAAATGTCAAATCTTGCGATTTCACACTCCCCTCGAGCCTCTGTAAGCTGTCTGGACCCTTAACACATCCGCCAAAGTGCCCCATCTTATATTTGAGCATAGCTTTTCAGAGACTGGCCTAGAATTTAGTAACTGTGCTTCCTGATCAAAGAACAGTTCGTTTGTATTGTCAAAAGCAACTGTCAAGGCCTGACAAGACCTGCCGACTTAAGTTTGATCTCTGGAACCCTAAGCCAGAAGGAGAAAACAGTCTTTGAAAGTTGTCCTTTGAGCTCCACACATGGACCATGGCACATACCAAATGTTCCCACACTAACACACATCAGCTACAGATACACAGTAATATAAGATAAAAATGTAAAGACACCGTCAGCAGCTGCCACTTGCCACCTTCTCTGGGGAAAAGACAGAGTCTTTAAATACTTCAGGAGGCCTGGAGTTGTACCTCAGTGGTAGAGAACATGCTTAACATGTGTGAGTTCTATATCCGACACTGCCAAAAAAAAAAAAGTTTCAGTAGTCGTGCTGTCTAAAAGTTTGTACCCACTCACAATTGTGTAACACTGGATCTTCTGCCAGGAGATCCTTCATGAAAACCACATCAAATGTATAAAAGCGCTATAGAGAGGCTGGGGAGATGGCTCAGTAGTCGGAGTGTTGGATGCTTTTCCAGAGGACTCAAGTGTGATTGCCAGCACCCACAGGGCAACTCTCAACTCTCTATAGCTCCAATTCCATGGGACCTAATGCCCTCTCTAGCCTCCACAGGCACCAGGCACGCGTGTTGGGGCACATTAACACGCAGGCAAAAACATCCGTACACATAAAATAAAATTACTTTTTATTTTTAACTGTTTTTAAGACAGGGTCTCTCTATGTAGTCCTGGCTGTGCTGGAACTCATTCTGTAAACCTGGCTGGCCTCAAACTCACAGAGATCTGCCTTCCTCTGTCCCCTGAGTACTGGGATTAAGGGCATGTGCCACCATGCCCATCCTTAAAATAATTATTTTTAAAAATAAATATGCTTAAAACCCTCAGACAGATTTGGTATGGCAGCAATATTCCGTTTTATAAATGGGAGCACTGCCATTTATGGCTCATTGGGAATATTCTTGCCTGGCATGCACAGGGTTCTAGGTCCACTCTGGCATGGCCAGAAAAGGAAAACAGAATGGGCCACTGAGATAACCATCTAATCACTCAGAAAAGTGACCCCCGCCCTCACTGTGCAGGAGCCTCATTTAAGACTCTGTGGTCGTAAACCACAGAAGCAAGCCCTGGCTAATAGAATGGAGTTAAACCAAGTAGGGACCTGGGCAGCTTGGAAGAGATGAGGGAAAGAACCTGTTACTTCTTCCTCAAGGAGTAGCTGAAGAAGGATGCTATTCAGGGAAAAGAATCTGATTGGCATGACTAGAACACTGTGGCACCCCTTTATAAGGTGAGAGGGAGTCGCTCAGCTGACCCAGGCGCTGGAAGAGGGGATTGTTCACAGTGGAAGAGCAGCGAGCCATCACCCAAAGTCAGGGGAGTGCTGCAGGGCAGGCCGTACCCTAGCTGCCAGCGTTAGGCAGTATTGTAGGAAAAGCTGCCATCCTGAGGTCAGCCCAGGATCTGCAGCCAGCCATTAGTAACCCAGCCAGAGGGGTCCATGGGATCTGTATGCAGAGCCCCTGCAAAGACCTTAGTGTGCCAAGATGGAAGGCACACTCTTGCACTTGTTGGGAAAAAACTAGTCGTGTGAGTTAAATGCTGTGGGACTCTAACCCATGCAGACAACACTTTTTAATTAATTATGTTTTGTTTTGCTTTGCTTTCTGTTTTGAGACATGGCCTCACTTTGCAGCCTTGGGTGGCCTGGACCTCACAGAGCCGCCGGCCTCTTCCTCCCTGGTGCTGGGACTGGAGGTGTGCACCACCGTGCCTGACTTTGTTCTCCTATGACACAGAGCCTCACTATACAGCCCAGAGTAGCCTTGAACTGGGATCCTCCTGCCTGGCCGTGTGGATACGGTGTGGGCTGCGCACCGCACGCCTGGCTCTGAGCAAGGCCTGTAGTGTAACAAGGCTCTGCGTGGTACGTGTGCTCATCCCCAATGCACACGTGGGGCCGCGGCCTGCGGCCCTCACTCTCTTGGCCCTCTCCGTTCTCTCCCACAGGGGCAATGTCATCATAGAGACAAAGTTTTTTGACGACGATCTTCTTGTCAGCACCTCCAGAGTGAGGCTTTTCTACATTTGAGAGAAGAACTCGAGTGCACTTCCAAGAATCTGGAACGGGGCAGGAGGAAGCTCTACATTTTTCCTCTACACAGTTGATTTTTGATACTCCAGCTGACTCCTTCCACACAGAACCCACCTGTGGCACCAGGAGACCAGCTCTGTATAGGTAGCCAGTTGGCTTTTCCTCCCAAACCTCCATCCTCACTGACAAGACTAAACTCCCAACCCCAGCCCAGGGCAGGGGACAAGCCTTCCTAGTACGAACACGGGAGCAGACCCACACCAGGAACCACACTGTGCGTGTCACCTGCCCCACCTCCTCCGTGGGCCCTACAGGCTTTCTTTGGCCTCCAGTTTTGAAAAAAATTACCTTTCTGACCCATTTAGGTTTTTTCCTACCACTTCTATTTCATACATTCTCATACCTTTAACTTGTAAAATAGACTATTATTATTACATAATGTAATTAAAGCATTAAAATATTCCTACAGTCTTTAGCATGGTACTGCTTCCATCTCTCTTTCTTTTCTGAGCTGTGAATCTGTCTTCCTGAAGGAAGAAGGGTTTGTGTTTCACTCCAGAAGCAGACTGATAGCTTTCATTCATTCCCAGATGTCTCCACCTGCTGCTTCTGGAAGCAGACGTCAGAAGAAAGGGAAACAGTGGGCTGGGGCGAGGCTTAGCGAAAGCCAGCATGGCAGGGGCACAGTCCTTCTGCAGTGTGCCCGGGCCTGACACAGAGAACCACAGGAGCGCTTAGACAGGGACTGGGCCACAGAGTTCACTGTCCTTCACAGAATACCTACAATTTCAAGTTACCTGGCAACAGAAGGGTAGACCTGAGACTGGAGGGCACTACCTGGCTCTTTAGTGTAACCAGGCTCCCTAGCTCCCACCTTCCTTCCGAGTCCATTGCCTGTCCCTGTATGTTACTTTGGGTGAGGAGAAGATACTATATATTCTGAGTGTCTCCACACCAATTTTCTGTGATGGTTTCTTATGTTATCATGGAACGCTTGTTTTGTTTTCTTTTTTTTTTTTTCAGGGAAGGTCTCATGTAGCCCAGGCCAACCTCATGCTGGCTCTAGCTTCAAGTATGATCTTAAACTTCTGATCCTCTCTCTACCTTCTCAGTACTGGAATGCAGGTGTGTGATACCACATAAGGTTTACGGGGTGCTAGGGTTCAAATCCAGGGCTTTGTGAATGCTAGAGAAGCAGTGGACCAACTGAGCTACATCTCTTCCTAGAAAACTCTTCAAGATCCAAAACTATATTAGAAAAAACAAAGTGAGGGGTTAGGGATGTAGCTGGGTGTGGTGGTGGCACACACCTGTAATCCCAGCATTCCACAGTGGGAGACAGGAAGGTCAGCTCCAGCTACAGAGTATGTTTAAGATTGCCTAAGTATGTGAGGATCTCTCTCCTTCTCTTTCTCCCTCCCTCTCTTTCTGTCCCTCTACTCTCTCTGTTTCTCCTCTCTCTCTATCTCTCTCTCTCTTTCCCACACACATACACACAGGTGGAAAAAAGAAAAAAGATGAAAATGAATTAAGGTTTCCTTGGTCTTCTTGAACCACAGCTCTTCTCGGCATAGACTGTCTTCTGTTTTCCTGAACCATATGTGCTCTCAGAATTCTCTCAGGGAGTGCTCACCAGTGCTGGACACATGGTGGAGAAAATCATACCTGGAAAACGCTTCCGGGAACAGGCATGATGACTCCCCTAGCACGGGGGAGGTGAGGGCAGGAAGATCAGTTCAAGGTCATCCTCAGCTGCATAGCAAGCTTGAGGCCAGCCTAGGCTACATGAGACCCTGACTCAAGAGAAAAGACTTCTCCATTGTCTCATCCAGGCAAAACGTGCTGATTGCTAGCTTCTCTGAGAAAAGCAGAAAAGGAATTATACCTCAGGTACTCTCTGGAGCTACCTGTCTCTGGGGTAGGATACATATGTTCAAGAAACAGTTCTCCTGAAACAGCAGTGAGGACAGTGAGCCGTGCCGTGAGCTGTGAGCCCACAGAGAACAGCAGGACGCTGGGGGCTTGGAGGAGAGGCGAGAGTTAGCACAGACAATGAATGAACACAGGCAAAGAGAGGTTATGAGACCTGTGAGGATTGTGCAGGTCTGATGACCCCTAGGTTGGTCGTCAGTGTCAGCTTTTTTTTATTAAAGATGTATTTTTATTGTTAATTTTATGTGTGATTATGTGCACGTGAATACAGGTGCCTGAAGAGGCCAGAGGTGTCTGATTCCCCTGGAGCTAGAGTTACAGGACTCATGTGGGTGCTGGGAATGGAGCTCAGATCCTCCTCAAGAGCGCTCTTAAGCCAGGAAGCCATCTCCCCAGCCCCCAGGTCAGCTTTTACAGGGTGAATGCAAGCTGAGGTCGGAATTGATACCCAGTTGGCTGAAGGCCAACTAAATATTTTCTAGATACTCTGAAACCTCTGGAAGTGTATTGGAAGAAACATGTCGACAAAGGCCGGCACACTATGTGGCCACTGGTTTTCAAAAGTCAGTAGGTACTTGCTTAGGTCCCCAGAGATTCTGATTTCAGAGTCAGGCTGAGGCTGTGCTCAGGGGTAGAGCTCAAGGCTGCAATGCCCAGTCCTGCAGGAAAAGAAAACACCCTGGTACCTGGTGTAGACAGTCTGCAGACTACTCTAAGACCCATTAATGCGACCTTTGAACTGCTAGAGAAACAAGCATACGTGAGGACAGCCCCAAGCCAGCCCAGGATCTCTGAGCAGACCCACTTCAGTCCTGTGCACACTGAGGGGAAGCGTTAGCTTGGATCACTAAGGAGAGGAGGGGATGCCAGGCCACACAGCCTTAGACAGGTTTGGGTGAGAGAACAGATTTCTTTGGGGAAAGATCAGCACAGTTTTGCTGAAGCCCTCTCACCTTTCTCCCCATTGTATCACTTGCCAATATCTTGAGCCCTTTTAAAAATTTTTGGGGGATGGGAGGCAGAGGGAGGTGGATCTTCAAGTTTGAGGCCAGCCTGGTCTACAGAGTGAGTTCCTGGGCAGCCAGGGCTATATAAAGAAACCCTGGGGGTGGGGCCCAGCATCTCGCAGGCTAGCCTCAAACTCATCACCATCCACGCTGCCTCTCCCTCACATGGCTGCGGCCACCACACCAGCTGCACGCTGCTCTTCTTAAGTTTTCAATGTTTATCCCGGGTACATACACCAGGGTGGAGTCAAAAGCTGACCTGAGTGAGTTGGTGTCACCTTCCACTATGGGGTTCCAGGGACTGAACTTAGGCAGAAGGGTTGGAGGGAGCACCTTCACCTTATGGTCCATCATGAGGGCCCTGGTGTTCTTTTGCGGTGGCAGATGTACCAGGCACTGAGTTTGACCTGCGTGGGGGATTCAGGCCACACTCGGAGACCATTCTATGTATCCGTAAGAGGCTGTGCTCCACACAGGTCTGTCTTGACTAAACCCCCTCAGCAGGAGGAGGAGGATATGACAAATGGTTTTTGTAAGATGGGGATTTACAGGAAGAGATGTTCCTGAGGACAAACAAAATCAAGAAAGCCCTCTTTACTGCTTACCCACCAAATTGGTTGGTTGTTGTTTGGTAGGTTGGTTTTTTTTTCTAAGGTGCTAGGACTAGGCCTTACACATGCTGAACATGTATTCTACCATTGAGTGACAGCCCCAGCCCTAACTATATTTTTGAAAATAAGAGGGCTGGAAAGATGGCTTTTGTTAAAATAGAGTAACTCCCTTGCAGAGGAGCCCAGCACCTGCTCTGGCTGCCTCACAACTGCCCATAGCTCCAGCCCAGGGCATTTAATGCCTCAGGCCTCCATGGGTACCCACACTCACAGACACAACATTAAAAAAAAATAAGGGGACTGCAGAGATGGCTTGGCAGTTAGGAGTACTTACTACTCTTGCAGAGGACCTCAGTTCAGTTCCCAGCACCCACATGGCAACTGTGGTTAGTACCTAACTCCAGGTCTGGGAGATCCCGCACCCTCTTCTGACCTCCATGAGCACCAGACACATACCCAACGCACATACCTATGAACAGGCAAGCATTCATGCATATTAGAACACATCAATCTGAAAATAAGCAAGAAAAGATGGGGCTGGAGAGAACTCAGAGCTACCATCCATATGACAGCTCACAACCATCTGTAATGCAGTTCCAGGGCAGCAGGCCTCATTTCTGCCCCCAACAGGTACTAGGCCTGCGCGTGGAGCTCACACATACATGCAGGCAAAATACTCATATATACATTTTTGTTTGTTTTTTAAGAAAAGAAGGATCTGGAGAGATGAGGTCCTGAGTTCAATTCCAGCAACCACATGGTGGCTCATAGCCATCTATAGTGAGATCTGGTGCCCTCTGCTGGCCTGCAGACACACATGCAGGCAGAACGCTATGTAAATAATAAATAAGTAAATCTTAAAAAAAAAAAAAAAAGGGGGGGGGGGGGGGAAGTCTTGTCTTCAGCTTTGCTTGGTTTTAACTTTTTTTGTTTTTCGAGACAGGGTTTCCCTGTGTAGTCTTGGCTGCCTTGGACTAGCTCTGTAGACCAGGCTGGCCTTAAACTTATGGAGATCCTATGCCTCTGCCTCCCTGAGTGCTGGGATTATAGGTGTGCGCCACCACGCCTGGCTTTGGCTTCAGCCTTGCATAGTCTTTCACTCCTGTCCCTCTATGTTTCAGGCTTTCTGGAAGTGTCTTACCTCTCCTTGTCCTCCTCACTTCAAAGCTGCTGCCTCCCCTCTGTCTCTTTCTGGGGCTCCTCCCATGCTTCTTGCTTTTATGGGGCACTTGACCCTTTACCTTCCCTGGAAATTCTTTTCTTATGTTTCAAGAACCCCTGTCTAGGTGCGCTGTTCCTTGCTCCTTGATAGTCTTTCTTTTCTTCGTCTTCCTCTTCTTCTTCAATGAGTTAATTCGTCGACAGTGTCACACACATATACACACACACACACACACACACACACACACACACACACACACACACATCTTCATTTTCGTCCTGCTCCCTTGACCCAGTTTTTCTTTTTAAGCTATTGTTTATCAAGAACAGACCGTGTGCCAATCCATTAAGCCCTAAACCTTGACTCCCATTTCCTGAGCTTGCCTTCAGGCAGCAGACGGTAAGTGGTGGAGACACCTTGCTGGAAGAAGTGAGCTCGTCACTTTCCGGTAGTTTCCAGAAGGAAGAGGCAGGAAGAACTTCAAGTTTTGAGTCACACATTCAAGAAACAACGCTGTGGAGGTGGCAGACCAGGCCCAGAGGATTGATAAATCTTCCCACCCCAGCCAGCAGCCAACAGACTGAAAGCCAGGTTTCCTTTGCAAAATCTGTGAGACTGTGAGCAGTAGCAGCAAGAGTATATCTGTCCAATACTTGCCTCAAGGCCGGAGAGAACTTGGTTGTGCTGGGCAGCAGCCACTGCCGGGCTGAAATCGGATGAGAAGGACAGAGTTGGGCAGAGTAGGTCCTGATGGCT